GTACCTTTTGTGCATTGATAAACATATTCCACGGCATTAAAGTGCCGATTCCGTGAAGAACCAGAATAAATAAAACCACATTATATCTAAAAATAGTAATTTATAAATTTAATTTATAGTTTTAAATATTTATTTAATTATTTATAGATATATTTTTGTATCAAAGGCTAGAGTCTATTGCAAAAAATTGTTTGTCTCAAAGTCTACATAAGATTCTTAAGCAAAAGTCTAGGAAAAGTAAATCATAATTAAGTTTATTATTTAAAAGTTTTGCTTAAACTAAACATTTAAGTTAATAACAATTCTTACGAAACCATTCAGTGATTATTACAACTACTCTATAGTGTACTGAATGTACACTTTATAAGGCATTGGGAGTCAAATGGTGTGCAAATCTAAGCAAATAATTGTAATAAATGTGTTTTTCTCGCAAATATTATTTGTGTTAAAAATCTAAACACAATTGAAATACTATTAGGAATTTTGCAAAATCTGTATTGAATTTTAGTGCATTCAATACAAGCGATTGTTTGTGTATTTATTTAACGTGTAATTTAAATACAAAAGAAATATAATATTTATATTTATATTCTAAATAAAATTCTATGCCTTTTGCCCATTGAAAAGGCATTTTTGTCTATTAAATAGCAAACATTAGTCTCAAAATACATGTATTTATTTCCACTCCAATTAGTTTTTGCAGCGAATTTTCAAAACTTGTTTTAAACAAAAAATGTTAAGTTTTGAAATGAAAGAGAGAAAGAGAGAGAGAGAGAGAGAGAGAGAGAGAGAGACTCAGCAAAAGTTTATTTAAAATTATATAAACATTTAGCTAATTATTGATCAGTTAAGCGCCAAATATTAGTTAAAATATTTGATTGAGTCATAAAAAGATTGAGAAATATTTGATTGAATTTAACGATCAAATTATTTATGAGAAAAATCATACATTAATTCCCATAAACTATAGATAACTCGCCACTGATTTATAGCTTTTAAATTAAATTTTAAGATTAAATTTAAACTTTCTTCACCTAAAAACGCATTGAATTTTAATTCACAAAATAAAGTCTAATTCAAAGTACTTTTAGCCAAAAACTTTTCTCCCCTACCATTCAAACAGATGTTTAATTAATTAATATGAATATAAAGTACTCACTTATAAATGCACTTAAATTTAATACAAAACGATAGCATCGATCGTTAGGGAAAAAATATATTTCAAATGTGCATAATATTAATATTTTCATATAAAATACACGTTTGAATGACATTCAAGTTATTTAGTAATTAAAAGCTGACATTTAATAGTGAAAATGACATACAATTGTTTAATAAACACATTAAACAATTAAAAATGTATTGTAAATTAGTTATTATAACTTACAGTTAATTATAATTAGTTACAACAAAAATGAATACAAACCTATCCTTCGGTGAGTTGTGAACGCAATACTGATTACTGGCTTTTGAGTTGATATCGTTGTCATCGCACTGTTTGATGGCATTGTTTGCCGAAGACTTTTGGCCACTATTCGGCAAAAAGGACTCGTTTTCGGCCACTTCTCGGATGGAGTCGTCTTCGGCTATGAGTATAGATTGAGAGCATTCATCAGAAGAGGCACTTGTATTGCAATCCATTGTATTATTCATATATCACAACCAATAAGATTCGCATCAATTTATTAAATTTTTACAACAATAGGAAAAACTTTTATAACAATAGATATATATTTAAAAACTAAATTAAACGGCGCTCTTATGAGACGTTTGGAGAGAGAGAGAGAGAGAGAGAGAGAG